CAAGAGCAGCCGCCTCAGGCGAGCGGCCTGCAGCTCGGCCCCGTGATGGCGGAGGGGATGTGCATAGTGCCGAGGGGCCGGGCTGAGCGGCACACGAGGAAACCGTTCAGGGGACGCGGCTTTCACCCGCTGAAAGGAGCAGCCAGGCCGCCCCCAGGCAGCCGCTCTGCTTCGAGAGCTTAGAATCGGAATCACAGACTGGTTTGGGCTGGAAAGGACCTTAAGATCATCCAGTTCCTGCCGTGGTCCTTCCACTAGACCAGGTTGCTCGAAGCCCTGTCCAGCGTGGCCTTGAGCACTGCCAGCTTACGTTAATGTGTTTGAAAAATTATAAGTTTCTCTGAGTAAACTGACTTCATCCACAGAATCGCCTGTGACAGGCATTCAAAAAAGAAAAAATTAAAAACCAGAAAGGTTTTTTGAACAATGGGTGTTTGTTCCGAGATGAGGATGATAAGTAATAGCTCCATCTGGTGACACTTCCCTCAGCAGTGATAACGCTGCCTGCCTGACCTTGCTGCAGAAAATGGAAGCTGTGGTAGGGGAGAGGCGTTTGGGTCATTAGTTACAGCATTCTTATTGATGGGAGCAAACGGATACGTGTGCTAATGTGCTTTAGTGAAATTCATAGGAGCTCTGAAAAAGAATGAACATGCTATCCGTGAAATACGACATTATAGGCAGAATTAGGTATTTTTCGCAGGTGTTTCTAGTAACCATTAGAACAGAGATTAACCAATTCTGTGCAGCATTTTCATAGGCATGAAACCATTAAATAAGGAACAAAAAAATCTAACTGTGCCTGACAATTCATATTCACTTTCTCAAGAGCAGTATTTTGGAAAACTTTCCAAAATTCTAGTAACTTTCTTTTTAGCATAGTTACCTCTAAGACTTTCACACAGGAGCTGATAGTATACGTTACATGAGATGGCTGGTCCACGGAGGCTAAAAGCAGCATTAATAACTAAGTGAAGGCACGTAAGTGACAGAAACCAAAACCTGAGTTCCTAGTTCCTAGAAGTATGAATGTAATTTATTCTAGGAAAATGTCCATTGTCTGTAGTGCATGTATATATTGTGTTTGAATCGTACCTGTAATTAGTTGGATTCTTTGTTTTCTCTCACATCAAGAGATTTTGACACTTGTTTACTGCACTAGCACCAAATTATCTCCCTTTCCTTCCTTTTTTCCTTCACAGCTTTGCTTCAGACACATACAAAAGCTGCTGCAGCAGCAACAAAACAAAGTTTCTGATCTTACTTCTTTTTAAGCTAGTGATATTCAAAGAGGGAGACACAGACTGCATCATACCGCGATCCAAACATCGCACACTGGCTCGGGATGGTTTTATGTATTTGTAAAGTGAAAACTGGTGACGTGAAAAAAGTCCCTAAGTCAGCATCTAGACTGGCAAAGTCATACAACTTTGGTCTCATACTATCACAACTCCCAGCATTATTATTCTAGTCACAAGTACCTTTAATTTGTATTGAAAATAGAGATGAAGTTCTGCACATTTTCCTTCTATGACCTGTCATAAACCTCAAGTGTGATGCAAAAGTCAAAACCACCCTACACAGGTCTTTCTCTCCCCCTGACATACCACAGAAGTAACTATTTTTGCTTCATAAAGTCACGTCAAGCCCATTATGAAGTTTAGCAAGATGTAGGAATAGAAAGATACTACGCAGTTATAGTTTCTTGCCACCTATCCTCATAGTGGCACAAAGCTTAAGCACAAACTCTTGCTGGGGCCTCCTTCACAGGTGAAAACCTTGCACAGGATAGAACTGGCAAAAGCTTGAGCATATAGTCTGGGGGATTGAGGTATCAATAATGCTAGACTATTAGCAAGGACGTAAACTACTAATGTTTAAAAGCTTCTCACTGCTTCAGCATATGCAGTTAAGTATTTTAATCATGTTATTATCAAGGAATGAAATATATTCTATGCCTATTAACGGAGGATAAGAAAATAGATGCTTTTTAAGTCAGTGTGGAACTTAACATCTTATCCCCCCCCCCCCAAGGAAGCTTTTGTCTTCAGTAATTTTATGTGTATATGACTGCTCTTGTTTTCTAATGGGAAGAGCTCTTACTATAGTGTCCCATTTAACATGAACACAGCCAAAAGAATAGAATTATTTTTTTTAATAGTCAAGTCTTGCAGCAATTGCTGAAGTCCACAATCATTGTCTGCCTTATGGATCTGAGACAGTGGGCTGGGAGGCAGACAGAATGTTCCTGCTCATGCCAGAAGACATTCCTTATCTTAAAGGGACAACTTTCTCAGGCCATCACCTGGACGACCAGTTCATTCCCTGAATCTCCCTTGCCTTTCTTTACTTACGTATTAA